ATATATATATATGGTGTAGGTCTCTCTATATTCATATTTACAAGTTCTTTACCTCCCCCAAAAAACTACTAACTTACAAAATCTTTTAACTGATAACTTCCTGCAATTCTCTTTCAGAAAAATAACTTGCAGTGGAAACATTCTGTATATACTATTCTTTGACATTCTTTAGCAATTTCCCCTAAACCCCCAGCAAAAAAGGAATTCCCCCTCATATCAAAAAGTAAATGACCAGTAGTAAGAAAGAGGATGGAAATCAGTTTGCTGTAGGGACATGTTACTAATAAAACTATTAATTATCTGTTGCTACTGTCTTAGTCACTTTCCGCTCACCGAGACACAATATGCAACACCCACATAGTAAAGGAAGGAAGATTTCTCTTGGCTCACGTTTATAGTCCATGATCGGCTGGCTGCCAGGCAGGAAGGCATGAGGAGCATTGTTTTTGTCACAGCTCACCACAGGAAGCAGAAGGGAGGTGCCATGGAGGGATTCAAACTTTTCTAGGCCACACCTCAAGTGATGCACCTCTTCTGACCAGACCCGGCATCTGAATAGCAAGCTAGCTCTAAGCCCCTATAATCCAGTCACCTTCCAAAAGCTTCTACACTTGAGTGCACAGGGCTTCATGGGGATATCTACATGTGAACCACAACAGCTACATTAAAAAATTAGCAGGAGAACATAGCGTCTTCAATCAACAAACATTTATTGTCTTGAAGCTTCTGTGGTTTTGGAGCATGGGAGAAACTTATCTGCATGCCTCTTATTCTTAAAGGGTCTCACAGGCCACCTTCAAGATGTTAGCCACTGCTGAAGTTAGCTCAAACCTTACCTTGCAGAAGATCTGCCAAGTGCCATAGCTCTTAGAGGGCCTTGGAAACTCCACCTCTAAACTCAAGTCATGGCTTTTGGCAGGTCTGCCTGTCCAGGTCTGTATGTCACAGGTCTGCCTGTGTGCTGCTCACAGCATGGCCGTTTGCTTCCCTAAAGCAAGGGCTCTGAAGGAGCAAGAGCAAGGCAGAAATCAATCTTTTTAGGACCTAATCTTAGAAGTGGCATCCATTACTTTGCCATTGTCTGTTAGAATTAGGAGACTAGGTCCAGCCGACACTTGAAGGGAAGGGGATGATATAAATAAATAGGAAGAGACAGGAATCAGTGGGTGCCATCTTAGAGACCGCTTACCACAGTGTACTCTAAATCTTCCTTCTCCTGGCCACTACGTCTGGGAGAAATTAGAAAGCCATTCTCATTATGAAATAGGGCTAGTTCATGAGTTTTAATTTAGAGCTATGCCTGACATTATGGTGGTGGCAGGCAAAGGATAGCTGTGCTTAAATAGTAACATTTTGTGATGTTACAAAATAGCATGGCTTTCTGAAATGACTGATTTAAAAAAATTCTTGTCTCTCTTTATTATTCAACTCTTCTTTGAAAGATAACTGAGTATTTTAGAAGTCAAATTTTTATTTAAATACGGGTTTACTTGGTAAATTACAAATGAAACTTTTTTCAGGTCGTGGGGATTGAATTTAGGGCCTTTCCACTGAGTTGTATCCCTACCCCACCACCTCCCTTTTTAAATTTTGAGACAGGATCTTCCTAAGTAGCTAAATTACCCAGGCTGAGCTCAGGCTTGGGATACTCCTGCCTCAGCCTTCTGGAATACTGGAATTATAGGCATTACCACCATTGCTAACAGAAACAAACTTTAACAGGTTCGTTGCTGTGTTGAGTCATTATATTCCTGGTCTGCTAACCCTTAGCATTTACTGAGTCATGTGATTCAGGTTTCATTTGAACTGCAGCTTAGAGATACTACTCACTAGCCACTGGAAAACACAGGAATTAATTTTTACCTAGAAATCAAAAGTTATATTTCTGAAGCCTCTTAAAAATGGAATAAGCCTGAGCCAGGATTTAGCTGCCTGCCTTGCAAGCACAGGGTCCCAAGTTTGATCCCTGGTACCAAAAAAAAAATACCCAAAAAAAAAAAAAAAAAAAAAAAAAAAAAAAAAAAAAAGGAACAAGCATAGAATACTTCTTTGCCTTTATATAAAGCAATTTTGAAATGTGGTTATTAATAGCTTACTTGATATCAGGGTTAAGATGCTTTGATCAGTCCCATGTAAACAGATCTATTGCTCATAAAATACAATTCCATTTTCCCCTAGGGTTTAGCAACTCAGTTTAAGTTGGCCCATGAGAAATTAATTCCTCACTAAGCATCCCTAAAATAGTATCTAAGATAACCTAGTTTAACACCTCGTTATGTAAGGAAATTGGTGCTTCTCCCAACAGAAAATAACAATCTAAGATTATCCTTGCTTGTGTTTATTGTTCACTGCTGCACCTGAATACTAGTAATAATAATAATAATAATGATAATAGTATCTTTGTAATGGATTGTGCTTGGGTTGCATTTGCAGCACATTGACTGTCTCTGATGATTCAGTGGAAGGTGAACAAAAGAAGGAATCTCCAGTTGGAGCTATTACTCCATATTCTCACCAGGATGGTGAAATGAGCTCAGTGGAACAGAACGTTGATGACAACATGGCAGAGAACACAAAATCCAAACCAAAAAAAACAAAAAAGAAGGCTAAAGCAGGTTTGATACCCAAACTAAAATGAAAAACTATATGCCTTGATAGAAATAACTCAACCTTAGGATATTAGCTCTTAAAGCTAAAACTAAAGGATATGATTTAAAATAATTCAGTATAACATGTGTGGTACCTGATCTTGATTCATTTAGATTAAACCATTCATTTATTTTTAGCTATGGGTCTCCTGATGAATGACTGTAGTTGTTCTTTGTTGCATAGAAAGTTTCTCTTTTAAACCATTGAATTTACAGCCCCTAAATGGTTCAGACTCCATTGTTGAAAGCTAGAATGGTCTACAGCCAACATTGTAGGTATTAGGGCTGTATCTCTCTTTCATTCATGGTGACTTTCCAGTTCCTCAACCTAATTCAGCTTCTCTCTACTCTCCTAATTTGCCTTTCCCCTCTTGATTTCTGTTATCTACCTAAAATACACAATTTTAGCACTTAAGGTTTTTATTCATTGGAGGATGAAATTGGTGATGTTTTGTGCCTCATGTAGTTAAATTTTTATAACTTGTTGAAGCATAATATACACATAGAAAGATAGCAAAAATGTACTATTTATTGAATTTTTATAAACTGAACATACACTATAAAATCATCCAAATCAAGGAGCACAATATCATCAGCACCCAATAGATCCCTCAAGTCCCCTTCTGGTTGGTTTCTGTACAGGAGTAATCACTACCCTGACAACTAACACAGTTTATTTTTACCTATTTTTGTATATTAATATGAATAGACATAAATACTGTGCTTTTGGTGCCTGGCTCCCTCATTTAATTATATTCTGAGTTGTATTAGTTATATTCTGAGTGTTCTCTTTCTGTAGATTATAAATACCCATTGTGTGAATATACTACAATTCATTTAGCCTGTTGATGGTTACTTAGTTGTTACTAGGTTTGGGAAATTCCAAGAAAAACTGTAATAAACATTCTGTAGTCACATCTTTCAGTGCGCATCTTTATACATTTTTGTCAGGCCTATTAGAGTTGCGATGACATATATTATGGATATTTTAATAGCCCATTTCAGCTTTCCAAACTTGATTACCAAATAATACTGGCAGTTTTGAGAATTCCAGTTGCTGTACATCTTCACTAACATGTACATTGTTAGATTTCTAAAATTTTAGTCATTGTTTTAGGGATATTTTCATTTTGTCTTTAATTTGATTCCCATTAAAATTAGCTGAGTATCTTCATATTTATTGACTACTTGAATCTTTGATTTGTAGACTTGTTCAAACCTATGCATTTTTTTAAAAAAAAGATCATCTTTTTTAAATTCATATATGGGAAAATCTTATGTACCTAAATGTGTCTTTTCTTGATATAAATATATGTCCACATGCACACATATATTGTAAGTATCTTGCCTTTCTGGGTTTTATTATTTCTCTTATGGGTAACTTTTTTAAAAACCCCAAAAATCAGATTTTTATACTGTACAGTTTATGCATTTTTTTCTTTGATGGTAATACTTTCTGTGATTTTTAAAAAAATCTTTCACAAGTCCTGAAAATGTTTTACTTTTCACATTTATATACATTATGCTGTTCAATTTGTCAAGGAATATACAGTGGACCCTTGACTTGGGTACTTGATCAGTTTCCGAGGGCTGGACATGACTAAGTCAGTACAGCTGAGATCTGGATGTTTACCTGGATGCACACTATAAATAACAAGAGGCAAATGAATATTCCATTTACCTAATTAACCCAAGTTGTTTGTATGTCAAGCTGGTCATAACTTGAGGGTCCATTGTATTGTGAATGATGTCAGTCTTTGGAGGTTATTGAGGCTTTCTTTATTTTATTTTATGATCAGTTTTGGCAAATATCCCATATACTTTTGGAAAATAGCACAGAAACGTGCAATCGAGTAAATCTAAGTTAAAAGTTGAGTCTTCAAAACATTCATAAATTGAAAATGCTGAAGTGGATCAAAAAATTGAGAAACTAATTCTGAAGATTCAGTCTGCTATGTGTTTCAAATTGACAACCTCACAAGTATTTGTTCAGCTCTACAGACAATGGGAGATGGGAGTTTTGCCCTCTAATGTCTTTTAAAAGCATGGTCTTTTTAGCTTTCTGCCTCATGCAGCTTCAGATGTCTAAGGGGCTGATGTGTTTCCAGTTTTACTACTGCAGCACTGCATGGACTAAAATGTCCGCTGTTTTTTCTATCCCCTAGTAGTGGCCTTCTGCTAGGGAGAGAAGAGGGTCACATTTAGTTTTTCAACCTCTAGCTGTAATCAGAATTGGTAAGTGACCCCAGATGAGAATTGACTGTAGAGCCTTAATTAAAATTGGTCACACTCTCTAGGATTTTATTGCTTGCTCTGTTTCAAATATTTACTCTTTTTCTTTCTTTCTTTTTTTTTTTTGTTTTGTTTTGTTTTGTTTTTTGAGACAGAATCTCATTATATGGTTCAGGCTGGCCTTGAACTCACTGTGTATTCCAGGCTGGGTTTGAACTCATGGTGATCCTCGTGCCTCAGCCTCCCCAGTACTGGGATTACAGGTGTGCACCACACTCGGCTCAGATGTTCATTCTTGGTAGGGTTCTGATAGCACCACTTGACAGGAGATTTTGCTACCTCTTTAGTCTCCTGATAGCCTCAGAATTCAGTTTTGTGAGAGTAATTAGACATGTGTTTCAAGTTTCCAGTTTTATCAGTTAGTCCTAGGGAACCACTGACAATTTGGCTGGTTTGTCCTTCTAGTAGTGGCTTGCCTGGGCCAAATCAGTTGTCAGAAAGTCCCCAAAGACAAAGGCTTGCTTCTGACTTGCTTCTGACTGACTGTTCCTCTCTGGAATTTTAGTATACATTGTTTCTGTTCTTTTCATATAATTTAAAAATGTGGTTTTCTTTTCTTTTTTTCCAGTACCAGGGATCAAACTTAAGACCTTGTGCTTGCAAGGCAGGCATGGTGCCACTGAGGTAAATCCCTGGCGCAAAAGTGTGGTTTTTTGTAATTTGTGTTTTTCTAGTTGGTTTTACCTGAAGCACAGTCTACTCCATCTTGCTATATCCTATGCAAAAACAGAAATTCCAGTTGTAAATGAACTAAGTGATAAATATTCCATCTAGAAAATATCCCAATAATACTGTTTTTTGTTTTTGAGATTCTTTTTCTCCCCTCTTTTTATTGTTTGTCCTTGTTAGGAAAAAAATAGATACCTCATCCTATTTGAATGCTTTAGTAAATGCAGTATTTTATTTTCATTGTATGGTCTGCAGCTGTCTGGCTTTTTCTTTTCCCTTGTAGTTCTTCTGTTAACAGAATAAAATAATATTAAATCAGGATTTATAAATTAATTGAAAACAATTACAATATTGATTTTCTTCTTCGCATGAAGTTTCAGATAATAATGAAGAAATTGATAGAGATGGTGTTCATGAAGTAACAAATGAAGATAGTCTAGTTTATCCCAAAAGTTTGATTGATGATGTCCTTGTCTTGGGAGTTTATATTCACCGAACTGATCGACTTAAGTCAGATTTAATGATTTCTCACCCAATGGTAAAAATTCATGTGGTTGATGAGAAAACTGGTCAGTATGTCAAGAAAGATGACAGGTAATTTTTCACATTTCACAGCTTACCTTTTAAGTTGCAACTACCTACAGTAGTTGTTTTCATTTCTGCTACTACTGGCAATAGTTGAAACTCAGTGGAAATAGAACTGTGAATTTGTAGTTGAGAAAATGAAAAGAAAGTGTTTGTAAATGGAGAGGGGAGGAGAGGGTAAAGGGAGGGCAGGGACAAGGGGAAAAAATGAGAACCAAGACCTCCTGTCATGCAAAGGTACAAGATCCCAATAATGAGTGTACCTACTGTATACCTAAAATGTATCAATAAACTCAATAAAAGAAAAAAAAATAAAATTCAGAAGGAGGGCCAGGGATTTAGCTCAGTGGCACTGCACCTGCCTTGCAAGCACAGGGTCGTGAGTTCAATCCCTGGTTCCAAATATAAATAATTAATTAATTTTTTTAAATTCAGAAGGAGTTACTTTGTTTCAGCTATTCATATCTCTTGTTTTATATTTCTGTAATGAAGTAATTCTGTGAAAACAACATAGCATATAAATGCAAAATGAAAGTTATTACTACTTTGAGTTTTATAAAATTTATAGTGTTCTAGATGGACAATGAAAAGAATGTTTTCTTTTATAACATTTTTGGCTGTTTCTGGTTACCTTTGTTGTATACTATATATTTCTCATTTTCTAAAATTATAATTAATTGTGTTAATAGAAGTATTTTTCTTTGAACAGTGAGCGTCCTGTGTCATCTTACTATGAAAAAGAGAATGTGGATTATATTCTTCCTATCATGACACAGCCGTATGATTTTAAACAGTTAACATCAAGACTTCCAGAGTGGGAAGAACAAATTATATTTAATGAAAAATTTCCCTATTTGCTTCAAGATTTTGATGAAGGTCCAAAGGTGATCCTTTTCTTTGAGGTATGAATTGAATGGAGCAATTCAAATTAAATTTTAGTTAGTATTTAATCACACAAGTATTATCTGTTTTTAGTAGTGCAGTACTGCAACAAAGTTGTGTAAGAATTTAATTGCTGAAATTTAGAGTTTGTAATATGCTGTGTAGAACCAATGAGGAGCTGTTTTTAAACAGCAATAGCATATTTGCTGAGCATTTTGCCAGTGCCTGAGGTTAGCCGTGCAATCTACTCTCAGATACCTGCTAATCCTTATACCAATAATGTGACTCTTACCTGAAGTGATGAATCTAATCCATGTGAATGCACTTCTCTACTCTGCACCCATTCATTAAATGTAAACTCATTTAACCGTGCCAGACTAAGAATACGCAGACCACCTAGATAAAAAAGACAAGCATACACAGATCTGTTGAAAAATGCAAAGTAATATATAACCAACAATATAAGGAATTTCTTAGATGTGGAGTAAAGGAGCAGTCAGAGAAAGGTTTTTTTTTGGTACCTGAGATTGAACTCAGGATCTTGTACTTGTGAGGCAGTCACGGTGCCACTGAGGCAAATCCCTATCGTGAGATTTATAGATAACCTTTGAGCTGATTTGTTATTCAAATATTTTTACTGAAAAGAAGATTTCCTCAGATTTACTGCAATTTTAATTATAGATAATTTATACTTGATAATTTGAATTTGAATACTTCATTTCTCTATTTTGTTCTTTTTCTGTAAGCAAAAAGAAAAAAGTAGAGAAACCTTGCTTACAGTTTTAACCAAGCTGGAGAACTTTAGGATGAGAATGACAAGGAACCTGGCATGACTAAAGCCTATAACTTATTTTGTAGAGTCGTTTATATTTATGGTCCTTGACTTTCAGCTTATTTGTATGTTTCTGTGATAGAAATATTTTATCATTCACATCTATGATTATGCTATATGTGATTTATAAAAAGCCATGATTTTCTTAAAAAGAGATACAGTAATTTTTATCTCAAGGAACTTTTTTGCTACAAAAATTTGTCGTTTTTGTTACAATGTTCTTGAATAATAATTTTATTAAGAGATTTAAGATTTATTGATTATTGGGTTATAGACAGTTACTTCTTAAATTTTAACATAATATGTTATTGCCTGTACTACTTTTTCATTTCAGTTTTTAAGGATTTAGTAAGGACAATATAATGTCTTTCAGAAATCTTTAAAACTATTATTTTACTCCTAGATACTTATTTTATGTGAAAAATATTTTATATGAAGATGTGCATGCAAAGATATTTATTTCAACTTTGCTTATAAAAGCAAAAATTTTACAGTACTAAAGGAACCTAAATTTCATTTGATAACAGACTTGGTGTAATTATGGTTTTTATTAAATGTATGATATTTATAATATAGAAGAATATTAGACAGCCATTAACATGATGGCTTCATATAAATCATACATAGCATAATCAGAGATGTAAATGGTACAATATTTGTATCATACACATGCATATCTTTTTACAAGAAAGGATATCCACTACTTGCTTTATGAAAATAGTTTGCAAATAGTATGTATTGGATTTACAGTATAGTCCAGAATATATGCACACATATATTCAGGAATGCACAGACAAAACGTTTAGATCATTATAAACAGATGTTACTAGTGACTATTTATGGGTTTGGATTATAAATTGTTAGTGGTTTTTTTCTGTCGTCAGTGTTTTTTACTGAACATTATATTTGAAAAAGATGTAAGTATCTAAAAGAGAGGATGGAATGAAATTCATGTTATTAAGCAGTCTTCAGTAAATACTTATTCGCGCAGGCCGCCGGTGATCGCAGACAGGCAGGTAGGCAGGCAGCTGAAAAAAACCCCCTCTGGGGTCCTTGGGTCCTTCCTGGGTCTGTTGTCGCGCAGGCCGGGAGCTCCCGCGCAGGCCGCCGGTGATCGCAGACAGGCAGGTAGGCAGGCAGCTGAAAAAAACCCCCTCTGGGGTCCTTGGGTCCTTCCTGGGTCTGTTGTCGCGCAGGCCGGGAGCTCACGCGCAGGCCGGGAGCTCACGCGCACGCCGCCGGTGATTGCAGCTCAAACTTTTGATAAGCACTAATAAGTACAGTGATAGCCTCTAGACTACAGACAATCTCTGGCAGGTTTGTTGCAAGTCCTGGAGTTTTAGTATCCAGACAGGATGGAAGTATGAAAAAAATCCTAATTACAACGTTCATCTAAAGAGAAAGGAAAATGGTCAAGGCAAAAATGTAGAAATAGGGTCCTGAGTTTCTAAAATTGTCCTTCAGAGTCTGCTCTGATATAAGAAAAATGATCAGAACTTAGGAATTCTGTGCCTGATATGTTTGTGTCTACATTATATTTGAAGTATTTTTAAAGCACATTTTTTATTTTTAACTACATATACTTAGACATATTTGTGGGTTAGTGTGACATATATACACACATGATGTGTGATAATCAGATCAAGGTGATTTGAATATCTGTCATATTTGAGGTAATTAATACTTTGCCTTGCACTTGAGATAAATCTTAATAAAAGAATTATTAATAAAAGATAAAGTAGTCAAATGATGAACTCTCAGTAACTGAATGAGTTAACTTTGAAGGTGAATGAAATGAGATTAAAATGTTTTTATTCCCATAAAGGAAACATTTTAAAGTATCCAAATGACATTTTAATTTTAATATTATAGAAAATATTAAATTTTAGATAGTGTAGTGTTCTGTGAAGTAATTTAAATTTTTTTTCAGATTCTTGATTTTTTAAGCATGAATGAAGTAAAGAGTTACGCTGAAGCCCGAAACCAAGAATGTGGCTTTAGGAAAATTGCCTGGGCCTTTCTTAAGGTATGTTTTTCATCCATTTTAAGCACATTTAAAGTAATCTCCCAATTTCACTGGTGTTATTAACTGAAGCCTAGCATATTGCTTAGCATATGCCGGGTATACTTTTTGCCCCGAAGTGGCAAGCACTGAAAAAGAAACATGTAGCCTTGCCATCATTTATTCAATTCAACAGTTTTTAAGCCCCTTCCTTGTGCCAGTTACTGTTCTAGTTAGCAGACTTTTAAAGAAGACAAATCCCTTGACCATATCAACCTCACATCCTACAAGGAAAATATACCACAATTACTTACATAATTTGTTATCCAATTAACATTTTTATAAACTGCAAAGAGTTATGAGAGTAGGTAATGAAAACAAGGGTCCTGTGGTATCAGGAACAGTTTTCTAAGGAAAAGCATTTAACTTACGTACTAGCTGGCTAGGAGCAGTGGAGAAGAGAGTTCTAGGGAATAGATACAATGAATGCAAACTCTGATACTGGGAAGAGCAAGGTATATTTACATAACCAAGAGAAGGTCACTGAGTTTGGAGGACAGAGACTGAGACAGAGTATGGTGTGTGAAAAGGTTCCTGTGGTCGATGGGGGTCCTCATTACACAGAGACTTCTAACCCATGATAAAAATTTAAAGAACAATGGGAAACAATTAGTATATTAAACAGAAGGATAAACTAATTAGAAGATTACTTGACCAGAATAGAATGTAGATTCTAGAAGAATTTAGAAAATTCTTGCAGGAGTTTAAGTACAAAATGTCTTTGACTAAGATGTTTTAGCAGAGATGAAAGTCCTGGATAGATTAATGTTTAAAAAATGAAGGGACTGTGTATGTCACTCAATGGCTGAGTGCTTGCCTAGCATTCACAAGACCTTAAGTTTGATGTGTCTTCATTGTAAATTTGAATTTTGAAAATCCTTGAATTTGTACCATCTACTGCCTCAAAAATTTTTCTATGTGTACATCCATCCAATGAATATATATTGTTTCTATGAAACATGAGCTATTTGCTGACTGACAAATTAGAGCACTTATAAATTAATTAGGTATTGTACCTGCCCTCCAATTTGTTTCTGTGTAAAAATGCTGTCCACATGATTATGTACTATATAATAAATGCTGTGAAAACACAGTTTAGTCATTTACTTCTTGTCGGGCTGGAGAGAGTCTTTAGAAAAGTTGTAGTCTGAATGACAACCAGGTTGACTATAGTGAGGAAGTTATTCAAGAAAAGCTCTCAGTGTATCACCTAAAATTATTCTAACTTGTTATACCTTTTTTGGGGTCCATTCCTTGTACTGATTTAGATTTTAAAATAAAAAAGCCAACAAACCAAAGGAGAAAATTCACATTCACACAGGAAACTTTGTCATATAGTAGTTTATTAGAAACTGCTCTTATTCCTTCTGTATTAAAGTTTGTACAAACCTTCTATATTTACCATAAAGTAAAATTAGGAAACAATAACAGATTTTTGCTTTTATGTATCATGTGAATTTTTATTCATGCATCTTAAACCATTGGCAGTAATGACAAACAAACTTTTTCCCTGATCTCATCCCCATTCCAGTAAAGGGTAAGGTATTCTATCTGCTTCCCCTTTGTAACAGTGTCTTGTTCATTTTCTAAGCTTTTCACAGTCAAGAGTGACTTTTTCATAAATTTGTTGAACATTTTTAGTTCTTACTTTACTAGATGTCCTTGCATTTAATATATCACTGTCTTGAAATGTCATAACATCACTAGCTCTGGCATATTAATAACACATAGAAAATGCTTGAAGAATATCTGTTGAGGGAATTACTGAATAGGTGGAAAGAGTGACTAGGATAAAAATTCATTTTAGGGAAGTGGCATGAAACAAGTTAAATTTTAAATGTTTTACTACCTATACCTGGTTGCAGGATGTCTTGGATAATTGTAAAGTTATCATAGCGGTCCATAAGGCTGCATCCTAATTCTCAGTTACAAGTCATATCTCAGGTACCTTATGATTCTTACAGCACATATACATGATTCTTTTTTTAAAACTTTAATGAAGTCTAATGATTTGACTCTACATTATACAGTTTATGACTATGATGGGTCTTGGCAGGGTTTTACTCATTTACTCATATTAAGGAATATAACAATGTAAATTAGATTTCCTAGAGAATTTTAAAGCAACTTATGGAAAGTGTAATTTGGAAGCTATAACTAGCTCCTTAGAAGTTGCTATGGCAGGTTTTGGAGAGATAATAGGAACACTTCTGAAAGTAATGTAGTTGCTTAATACTTGCTGATTGAATATTATTACTCATTTTGAAACTGTTTTTACACCTCTCTATATCATTTGACACTGATTACAGTGTCATCTTCTCTGCTTACAACCTTTATCGTCTCCACATTGTTTCCTCCTTTCCTAGAGTAAGAGGAAGAGTGTGCTACATTTCACAACTTTGCTCATTCTTATATAGAACCTGGATTTTGTCTTTGTCTGTAAAGATTCTCCAGTCACATCACAAATATTTCTGTTTGCCAAATTTGCATATTGTTCACTTTTACTCTCTTGAAACTCTGTTACTTTGGCTTTCTTGACACCATCTTTTCCTTACTTCCCTTGTGCCATTCGTTCACTTCCACCTGCTACTTTAATGTCAATCCTACTCATAGTTAAATCATTTTTTTGGGAACCACTTTTTACCTATCCTTCAGATTTATAAATGTAATTACTTGCTGCCCAGTTCAGTCTAGATGACTTCTAGATGTCTCAGACTTCCCTGAAGTAAATGAATCTTACCTAATCTCTCTTGGCTACTTTCTTCATTTGTCTTCCCAATCTCCCAAGTTTATAACCATGGAATTACACTGTTTATTTTGGTAGTCACAAGTCATATGTAACTAATAAGAATTTAGATGAATAAAAATTTTATTTAATTACAAGTCCAATCCAGTGGTTGCATTGTCCACACTTCAGAAGCTCCATGTGACTAGTGAATGCCATGTTGTTTGATGGCACAACTGTAAAGCGTTCCCATCTTCATAGAAAGTACTGTTGGACAGTGCTACCTTAAAGTATTTCTGTGGCCCTCTTTACTTTCCAAGTTGGTAACATTACATATTATTAAATAGATCATCCTCCAGTACATAGTGCCTATTCTTCTGGTTTAAATTACCTTCATGCTCTGCCTAAAATGCTACAAAAGCACCTAGCAATCTCTCCTTAATTTGTAGAGGATACAAAGATTAGAAAGACTTATTTACAGTCATGGCCTAGTGAAAGAGGGAGGACCTGTTCTGGGTTGATGAAATTTTTTATTTTTCTCATAAGAATCTCCACTTATATAGCTTGAAGTAGTATTTTTAATAGACTTTTTAAAAGGAGGTAAAGTACAATATTAAAAAAATATAATGAATGATTTGAGTCAGTTTAATTACGCTCATTTTAACTTTTTAAAAAAATTGAAACAAAATTTTAATTATTAAAATCCTAACAGTTAATAGAGAATTTGTTTCTATGCTTAAGTAATATGTATTTTATTATTTATTATTTCAAATAAGTATATATTTATCACTTTATGCAAAGTGACATCTGGCACAGTAGTTAAATGCTTCCAAAGCAGTCTGAACTGATCTGTACAGGTGAAAACAGAGCTATCAGAAAGTATTTTAAAAATTGTTTGGGTTACATTTTGTCTAGAAGGATCTCAGGCTGCTATGTCTGTCTTCTTCCCTTTGCTTTGTAAATCTAAGGAATTTCAACATGTCATATTAATGTTTTTTGTTTTTTGAGACAGGGTCTCACTATGTAGTTGAGACTGACCTGGAACTCACTATGTAGCCCAGGCTGGTCTTGAACTCACAACAGTCCTCCTGCCTTAGCCTCCCAAGTGCTGGGATTACAGACCTATTAATGTTTTTAAAAATAAGTTTCTAAATACCATTGCTCATTGAATGTACCTATTTTCAATAAAAGTAACATTTTATCTATGAATTCCTGTTTTAAGCTTCTGGGAGCCAACGGAAATGCAAATATCAATTCAAAACTTCGCTTGCAGTTGTACTACCCACCTACTAAGCCTCGATCTCAGTTAAATGTCATTGAGGTTTTCGAATGGTGGTCCAAATGTCCAAGAAATCGTTATCCATCAACATTGTATGTAACTATACGAGGACTGAAAGTTCCAGATGGTGTAAGTTAATAACACATATAAAAGTATGTATATCTTCTATTGTTAAAATTAAGTGACATATCTTTTCCTTTTTTCAAAAGATAAAGTCTGCAACATTCGTTAAATAATTAACTGAAATATGCCTTCAGAGATTGTATATTAAGCCAGTAATAGTTGATACTAAAGAGATAACTTAAAATAAATTTTAAATGTATATTTCAGGGTTAGCAAAAATGTTACTATGATTAGATTTTTTTTTTTTTTAGTCCGGAATCATACTATTAAGCCAGTAATAGTTGATACTAAAGAGATAACTTAAAATAAATTTTAAATGTATATTTCAGGGTTAGCAAAAATGTTACTATGATTAGATTTTTTTTTTTTTTTAGTACCTGGAATCATACTCAGGACCTTGCACTTGCCCGGTAGGCAAAGCACCACTGAGCTAAATCCCTGGCACTATAATTTGATTTTTTTTTAATTGAAGATAAAAGAATAACTTAAAGATGAGGCTGAAAAATATTTTTCTTATGAACAGAGCAAATATTTTAGGCTTTGCAAGCCATATATTCGTTATCACAACTACTTAACTTTGTATTGTGAAACTAGCTATATAAATATATGTAGATAGTAGCCAAACAAATGGGTATGATATGTCATCATAAAACTGTTTTTACCCATTGTGGTGATGTGTGTTTATAATCCCAGCACTCTGGGTGGCTGGGGCAAGAGTATCAAAAATTTAAGCCCAGCCTGAACAACTCAGCAACTTAATAAAACCCTATCTCAAAACTAAAATCAAACAGGGACTGTAGATTTAGCTCAGTGGTGCCACACCTATCTTGCAAATGCAAGGTCCTGAGTTTAATCACCCCCACCAAAAAAACAAACCTAAAAAAGAAACAAACAAAAGCTCTTGAGAATGTAGATCAGCCTGAAAGCCCAAGTCCCTTGGCTCACTCCCTCCTCAGTATTGCAAAGAAACATACAAACAAACGATATAAAGTAGCAAATAGTAGGCTAGAGTTGGAATATAATCTGTAGTTTGTAGACCCTCCATTTACATATTTCACAATAGAGGTATTCAAATAATAGTATTTCTACTTCTGTTTTCTAAAGATTAATATATATGATCTTAGCAAAGAATCCTAAAATGAAAAACATTTGCTTTGTTTTATTTTTGTTATATTACTTGCACATTCTGTAGCTGATATTCTGTGCTGGCATCATAGGGTTGGTTTGCATTGGTGTGGATAAAGTTAAATAAATAGGGAAAGAGGATTTTTTTTAAAGCCGGATATCATATATAAGAGCCATGGCATAACATCAGGTAGGTATTGATAAAGAAACAGAAACAAAGGGACAGAGTTATTTAAAATCATTGGAATATGTTATTGAAACTTCTAAGACTTTTTGATTTTAGAACTATACTTTCAAGTTGCTGTTATTTAGTATAGTTGATCTTAGCTAAAAGGCCGAGAAGTGATAAGTTGCTTTTATTTATAATCACATATAAATAAAAGTAAGATTTTTTTTCTGGATCACATTTTGATAAAATGTCTATTTTTTGTCAATATTTTATAAAACAATATATAGTAGTCAAGAAAAAAAGGTGAACATGATACAAATTTTCTACATATATTTAGATAAAGCCCTCTTACCAGTCTATGATGGCTCTTCAGGAAGAGAAACCAGAACATTATGAACATCACCGTGAGTCAACTTCAGTAGACACAGAGCCTGGATTAGAAGATTCAAAGGAAATAGTAGAGTGGAAACGACTACCTGGACAGGTGAAGTGTTTAATACTACTAGATTCATTTAGGTATTTACTACCTTAAAAACGCCATCACATTGGGGTTTAGGTATTCTGCATATGAATTTTGAGGGTACACAAGCATATATTCCATGGCAAAGATTAAGAAACCAAAGGTCTTTTCATGTTTTAAAGACCTTATCTTCAACTACTATTCAAAGGTATTAGAGGGTAGGGCTTCAACATGAATTTGGTGGAAGTGGGGAAGCGATGTACTCCCTAACACAGTCAAAAACCGTAGTTGTTTGTTTTTTTTGTTTGTTTTTTTGGTACAAGGGATTGAACTTGGGTCCTTGAGCTTGCAAGGCAGGTGGCAGAACCACTAAGCTAAATCCCCAGCCCAAACCATAGATTTTTTGATGTCTATAAGAGCTGTATCTCCTAATCTTTATGAATTTATGAAATTTTTTACAACCCCTGGTTTCTCCCTAAATCACATCTTTATGGAGATAATGTATATACATATCTTTCTAACACATTTTGAACAGCATTTAAACTTCTACTAAAGTTTTCTTGTTTAGCATTTTTAGCAGTGGCAGAACATTGGTTATTAATTTTGGAAACTTTTTTTCCAATAAGAATGGAGCCATTATCAAATACAATTTATCCAAAATTATAATTTATCCAAATATGTAATATAGAAATAAGAATGATTATCTCTCTAGAACTCTTCATTGTCTGTGTTTTACATCATGCTTGTTTTTCTTTTTTTTTTCTTTTTGGTACCAGGGATCAAATTTGGGTCCTTGCGCTTGCAAGGCAGGTGGTGGAACCACTGAGCTAAATCCCTGGCCCCTGCTTGTCTTTATGAGACTAGTTTTACAGATAAATTTTATGTATTTATTTTTTAGTATTTTGAGACAGGATCTTACTATGTAGTTGAGAGTGGCCTTGAAAATTGCAAAATTTTGTTTGATTTTAAAAAGCTTCAAATTTTGGACCATTTTGGATTTTGAATTTTCAGATTAAGGATTCTCAGCCAGTATTCCAAAATCCAAAATAACTCCATAATTTGAAATACTTCTGGTAGATAAAAGATATTCAGCCTGTATTATGGAGAGACTAAGCCTTAGATGATGTCCTTGGGAACCTTCCTCTTTGGGTAGGGAAAGAAGAAAGCAGTCACAGGTCTGTTTACTAGGTGGTGTTTTGAGGGAATAAAATAGTTATAAATATATGAATTAGTTCTCAAAGTATGATTTGGGTACTCCTGAGAGTACTGAGATCCTTTCAGGGGATACCTGAAGTCAGCTTCTTTTCACAGTGATTCTGATTATTAGTCCTTTTTACTTTCATTCTCTCACAAGCATATGCTGTAGTTTTTTTAGAGGCCAAATGACATTTGAAGTCTCAAAAGAGTGAATGTAATAGTCCTGATAATCTAGCTTTTGTTAAACCAGATTAAGGAGAGTTTAAAAAATACATGCTTATTTTATGTAGTTATTATTCATAAAAAATTGCTTATGTCAACAGTGGATTTGCTAGTTATTTTTATTTTTAATCAACAAAATATTTTTTAAATTCCTAGTTTTAATTTCTTTTTTTCTTTTTCTTTTTCTTTCTTTTTTCATTTTTTGGTACTCGGGATTGAACTAAGGACCTTGCATTTGTGCTTGCCAGGCAGGCGGGGTGCCACTGAGCTACAGAGCCACAGCCCATTTTCTAATATAAATTTCTATGGATGTAGCCACATAAACTAAAACTTTTGGAGCACCTCAGAATTTTTTTTACTGTGAAGTAGCCTGAAACTAAAGAAGTTTGAGAATTGCTAGATGAGCAAGGTGAAATAGAATGGAGAAGTAGGTTCATTTAGCAGGTTGGTGGAGCTTCAGATGAAGTGGAATAGCCAGTTCATATTAATTTCATAAGGAGGCAAAGTTGCAAATGTGTGAAAAGGACTTAATATATCCATTAGGCCCTCTGACACTTGGCTAGCCAGAAATCACAGTTTTCATGACATATAGTGTGACAGATTAATGTCACATTATGGACTGTGTAGGATGGTAGCTTAATACTTGATTCTGTGAAATGTGAGAAATGATGGTAGGTTTGAGTAGGAGAGACACATTGATAACAATCTTATTTTAATACAAAATAATGCTGGGAATGGCATATGGCAGATTCTGAAGCAAGATATATTAAAATTAGAGTGATCTATTAGATGGCATTTGGTCATTGATATGTGCAGTGATGAGAGTTTAAACTTGGGTTCATGGTAATGAAAATGAAGAGTAAGAAGTGAATATAAGGGTTAGAAAGTAGGACTCTGCATGATTTGGTGACTGACAAGGTAGTAAAAGTGTGGGGTAGGGGTGGTATTCAGAGCACTTAAGATTTTCATTGTTTTCTGATTTTCACCGAGTGCTTATTCTGGTTAAGGAAACATTGTCAAACCCTGGGAATACAAATAACAGGAGAGTGGCTTCAGTGATTTTAGCCTAGTTGACTTTCCTCAGCTATACTCTAGGAGCAGCAACAAGTAGTTGCAAATCCTCCTGATGTCTCCTTCAATTTTTATCTTTTTACCTTCCTCTCCCTTTTTTTTCTTAATCATGTGGTTGGAGAATGGAAGAAAGAAATGGGTAGCATGGTGTCTTGTACATTATTGACACATAACAGATGTCTATTAAATTATTCACATGCCCGATAGCTCATAATATTGCTTCCTGAGCTGCCAGATCTTTGGTGCTGTTTGTCAAAAACCTGATACCTATCAAAGAAGAAATGAAACCTAACAGTCTTTGACAAGGCCTGTTAAGCTGGGCTTGACCCTTGAAGTAATCCTTATTAGCTGTATTTAGCTAATAATGGTTATTCCTAGCTAATGATAGTTACTTAAAGCATTGCAGTAATGAATATATTCACAGTCATCTGTAATAAGGTACAGTATTAATGGCATACAGTAAGGGCCTAGTATATGATTAATTCAACTTTTTAAATACCAAGAAATATAGGAACTAAGGCAGAATTAGAAAAAAATAAAAGTTGTCTTTTTGACAGTTGATATTAATACCTAGAAGATTTTAGTTTTATCTAGTTATAGGTACTGAAAACATAGAAATTATTAAGAAATATTAATATAGTTAATGAGAGGCAAATATGGGATGATTATTTTGAATAGACAATGTTCTGTTATCCACAAGAGATACATTCCAAGACCTCTAGCGTGTGCCCAAAACCAGTGATAGTACTTAACCCTTCATAGACTATCTTTCTTCCTATACAAACTTAATTATTATAAAATTGAACATTTAAATTAGAATCTGTGTAACCATCTTGTATTTGTAGTAAATGGTTTGATGTTATTCATTTTTAGGAGATCCATTAGTAAAATCTCAGTAGGCTCCATGCTTTTTGATAGAACATGTCAATCAGAGGACCTTTTCTGTTCATGTTTTTTGCCTACAAATTTAGTCTTTTCCATTTTATCTAAGCTTCATCACTCACTCTGGTCATAACTTGGGAGTTTGAGGTATGACAGCAAAATTAGCACAAATGTTTTCCCTTCTTTACACTTTCACAGACTTGTTATTACTGTTGATCTTAGTAACTGCAGCATATGATTTTTTTTTCTTGTCTGAACTTTACCTTTTCACTTAAAGGAAGCAGTTAACAGCTTCTTTTAGTGATATGTGAATTGCCAACTCCCCTACTCTTATTCTTTGGAACCATTAACATAAACACAAATACTGAGATATCACGATAGTCGATCTTGTAGCCAAGGCTATGACTGACTAACAAGCAGGTATCATATGCATTGAGGATATGCTGCATGGAGAAAGATAATCCCGATACAGTTTCATCACACTAACTAGAATGGTGCGAATTTTAAACCCATTGGCTTCATAAAATCATTTACTTCTTGAATTTTCTTTCACTTAATATTTTCAGACCACACTTGACCAGAGTATCAGAAGCCACAAAAAGAAAACCTCAGATAAAAGGGGAAACTACTGTATATTTTGGAAAGAGTCATAAAGAATGGTTATTTTAAGAGAGAAAAAGAAAGGTGAACATTTGTGCATCCTAGGCTTAGGCTAGGATATAAAGGGCATTTATAATTTTAAAATAAGTTTGTCACCTGAGCAAAAGTGGCTTATTATTACTGTCATTGAATAAGAATGTGACATACATTATTTTTTGTGGCTGTATCAAAGTAGTGTGTCTGACAGATTCAGTATTCGATACTGAATTTTTTTCTCTTCATATTTTAGATGAAATAAGAGAAACAACAAATTCACTTAATCTTATGGAGAAGTAATTCTTGTTTAGAAAATAATTTAGTATTTTTCATCACAGTAAAAGAACACTAGTAGTTTTGAAAACCTACTATAGTACTTGAAATTAGCAAGTAGTCTTTGTATTGTAATGTTTCTTAATTTATATCTTTTAAATACTTTTTTTTTTTAGGCTTGCCGTATCCCAAACAAGCACCTCTTCTCACTAAATGCAGGAGAACGAGGATGTTTTTGTCTTGATTTCTCCCATAATGGAAGGATATTAGCTGCAGCCTGTGCCAGCCGGGATGGATATCCAATTATATGTGAGAAATAATTCTTCCTATTTAATCTGACTGTAGTCTTTATGATGGGCATTGTTTGTTTTTTTTAATTCATTGAAATCTTAATCCTCAGAATTGGTAAATTAAGTCAGATTTTTTCATGCAAAGAAACAGTTCTTTTATACTATAACTATTGAGAAATAAAGTGAGAATATTAAACGAAAGACGTTATTTTAAAAATGCAGAAAGATTTTTGTAAACATTTTCTCTTTTACATACAGAAATGTAGAAACATGAAGGATTAATCTCATGGAGATTTTGTCCAATATAGTTAGATGATAGAAGTGATAATTTGAATTATGAGAGCTCACAAGTTTTTTGTGCACTAGAACACTAGTGATTGCCACAGAAGTACCTAGATGAAAACTCATTATGATCAACAAGTTAGCAAAGAGGCCAAGAAAAATTATTTCTGTAGCTTTAGAGTTTTGTGGGGGTTTTTTTGTTTGGTTGGTTGGTTGGTTTTTTAGCAAGCATTATCACACTGTTTGAGATGCATTAAACTCAGTCCCTTATTTTTGACTCAGTATTGAAAACCAGCTCTTTTCAGCAGGAAGAAGCCCTAAGCTCTAATTGTGATAAACTTTACGTAAGTCCTCAGCTTCACATATGCAGTGTGATCAAAAAGTACAGTGTTTAAATTTTAAGAAATGTATTACAGTTAAAGGCATATTGCCATGAATCCTTCTCAGTATGTCCCCCACCCTGTGTCAAACACACTTGTCCCGTCCTTCTTGCCACTTTCCAAAGCAGCTCTGGAAATACCTCTTTGTCAGTGTCTTTTGTTGCATTATTGTGGCTACTTGGATGCCCTGAATTGAATCAAAGTACTTATCCTTTCATGATTATTTTGATTTTGGGAAAGAGCAATATGTCACCTGGGGCCAGATCCAGTGAATAAGGTGGATGTGGACACACCCCGTTATGTTTTTATGAGCCTGCCTTTACATTGGATGGCACTCAGCATCAGCATTCACTGTATTTTTCATTATGCTTTGTACAGACACTCCCAAAAGAACTCGAACTTCTTCAGAAGTGTCAAGAATAACAGAAGAAGTGTGTCAAATTAATGTGTGTTCAAATTAATGGCAGTGTGTCTTTCACTAATTTAAAAAATTTAGGCATTCACCTTATATTTTGATCATACCATATAGTGAATCACTTCTTTTTCATCTGGGATTACTAATTGAGTTAACTGGCATTTATTAAATTAATATTCCTTCCTATGAAATAATAATCATTTTTAAAGTATTAAAATTATTTGTGTAGCTTGATTAACCACTATGCTGGTGTAAAATTCACCAAAAACCTATGTACTGCGGGAAAAGATTTTTGGGAAACATGTTTCAAAATACTAATACTGTAGTGATTTCTTTCTTTTGGTTAATAAAATAATTATTTTCTTATGATTTGTATCGTTTAAATTTTTGTGGTAAACTTGTTACATTATACTTAATTACATTATACTTAATTCAGGATGCTCTGGATTTAGATGTATGTATTGCTTAAATTTCAAAAAACAGAAGATAGAATCTTTGTCCTTGATTCATGACTATGATTATGTTCTGTCTAAACTTGGAATTTGCTTCATTTGTTAATGTGCAGATTAATGTTTCACAAATTGGGGGATTATTCAGTCATTATTTCTTCATATTTTCTGTTTGCCCTTTTCTCTTTATTCTTCTGGGACATCCACTATGCCTGTGTTTGTAGACTTGACGGTGTCACACCAGTCTCTGAGACATATTTTTCTTCATTCTTTTTCTTTCTATTCCTCAGACTGTATAGTTTCAAGTGATCTGTCATCAAGTTCAGTAATTCTTCTGCCTGTTCATATCTTTTGAGCCCCTCTAGTGAATTATTTCAGTGATTGTACTTAAGCCTAAAATTTTTCTTTGGTCCTTTTGTGTCGTTTCTTTTTCTTTACTGTTACTCTATTTTTTTGGTGAAAAATCATTCTTGGTGGTGGGAGTCTTTGGAGTTTTTCTTTGTTTTGTGTTTTTGGTATCAGGGATGGAACTTGGAACCTTGCACTTGCAAGGCAGGCGGTGGTGACACCACTGAGCTAAATCCCCGGCGAGAAATCATTCTTAAAGTTTAATTTTTAATTTTTATATGGTCTTCCTTAGATCTTTGAATATATTCATAATAATGGATTTAAATTTTTTGTTGAGAAAGACCAATGCCTGCACTTCTTCCGTTTCTGTATGATGTTTCTGTTAACTGCTTTTTTCTCTATAGGTTATACTTTTCATTTTTGTTTTTTTTTCCATATCTCATAATTTTACATTGAAAACTGGTTATTTTAAATAAGCCAGTGAAGTAGCTCTGGAAGTCAAGTTTCTCTTTTCACCCCTCTCATCCATCCAGGATTAGTTATTGTTGTGGTTTTTTTAGTAACTTCTTGGGCTAATTCTGTGAAGTCTTCTTTCTTGTCATATAATTGTCAGTGTAGTCTCTACTCCAGTTAAGAGCAAACTGATCGCTTGGGCAGAGATTTTTGTTAAATACTTTTGAGTTGATAGATCTGATGTCCTTTTCCAGGGGGCTGTATGTGTTTGTGTATATGTTGGGATATCTTTTCATAGCTTCAGCAGGCAATTAAAAACTCCACCTTCACTTCCTGTTTGTTCAGAGTCTCCTCCTTCAGCTCGAGTGAGAGATAAAGCCTCTTAGGTTTTGCTTGATTATGCGCACAAACCTTTCTTTATACCTGCATGAGAACTTCTTAATTCTTATGTGTACAGTATTTTGAAGCTTTTCAAGGTCTTGTGGGGCCATCTTGTTCCCAGGTTTGCATTTTAAATTTTTAATTGAGCCTCTTCTTAGCCCCAAATGTTGTTATTACCTGAGGCACCTGTAATGTTAAATGATGTCGCTCACTGTTTCAACATGCACTCTAGAGTTAGCTTGTATAAAGTATGTATTGAGCCAGGTCAGGTAAAGGCAGGCCCTGAGAATGGGGCCTTTCAAGGAGCTGCCAGACTGTCAAACAGTGGTCTTTGGGGATGGAGCTTTTAGGGATCTACAGACCTGTTTTAAAAAATCCAGTGACTAGTAGGCTCCTGTTATTCTCCAGCTTTTAAGGCTGTTTTACACTTCAAGAGAGGAAAATGGAATAAGGCAAGTGAAAAATACCAGAAAGCTCAATGTTCTTACTGATATTCATTCATTTTATTAGATTGAATATTCATCAGATTATTTCAAGCTGTGCTTACTTTCCAGAGTTCTAAAACATTGTTTTGAGAATTTTTGCCACTATTCCTGTTGCTTTCATTGGGAGCAGATTTTCCAAATTTGCTATTCCAGTACTTCTGAACTTCTTAGCATTGTAGTTTTTGTGTACTTCGTTTTGCCACTAGGTGGAAGTAGAGACTTGGAGATTGGTTTCTGTGATTTTACTGTGTGTGAAAACTGTGCTTTGTCTATCAGATTGAATTGCTGCTGATTACCTTATTCTCTGGCATTTTGTATTGAAAGTGAAATTTTTTCCTGACTGTAGCTTAGTTTAAATTTCTCATTACATAAAATAATTACAGTTTTGGATGACATTTAGTTAATTTTGAAGTAAAATAATGCCTTATTCATGAAACTCCAAATTATAGAATATTTGAAATTAAGTACATGTAAATACTGTTTATTATCTGACTTATACATTGATTAACAAAGATTCATGGGGGATTTCTTTGAAGAAATAAAAATAATTTATGGCATATTATAGTACATTATGAAATTTTAGGATATTGTAAAGTTTTGTGTGTAAATTCTTGTTCCTAAGCAAAGCAATTGAAAAACTATTCTTCTGGGGATTGGGTTTTTGTTTTTTTGTTGTTGTTTTACTTTGTTTTTGAGACAGGATCTCACTATGTTCAGGCTGGCCTTGAACTTACTATGTAGTATAGGCTAGCCTTGAATGAGAAACTTCTTAAGTAGATTTTGAAATTTTATTTATACTGGAAGTATCTTTGGTTATAATTTCCATACTGACTGCTTAATTTATGTCTAAGTCATTGTAAATTGTATATTTATATATTATTGGATTAAAGTGCCTCTGTCTAGAAACCTACTGATTTCTAAATATTTTTATTAGTATATGAAATTCCTTCTGGACGTTTCATGAGAGAATTGTGTGGCCACCTCAATATCATTTATGACCTTTCCTGGTCAAAAGATGATCGCTATATCCTGACTTCATCATCTGATGGCACTGCCAGGTTAGTGTACTTTAGAAGTACCTATTATGTATGTTCTTTCCCATCAAAGAAAGCTGAGAAAATATAAAGTGATATATTTTATCTATGAAATGACCACCATGAATATGCAGACTAATTAAGTAGTATTAAAACTTTTTTCTTGAAGGCATTTTTGTCAACTATCTCTTAATATAATGTAGCATTTCTGTTCCTCGCCATCTTTAAACAATCGTTGTGTAAATTGTTTGATTAACACTTTGAGATGAGATTATTAAACACTTGAGATTTTTCTTAAAACAAACTCCTAATGGCAAGGATCCTGTCTTCATATTGGCTAGATGTAGAGGCTGGAATCTGGTGGACCTCATTATATAAATGTAGAGGAAATAAATAAGTATCATATGTTGTAAGAATGTTATAGATGTTAAATATTTGCATTCCTACAATATCAGTCTTAAATTATCTCATTTCAACTTGTGTCACAATAAAACATTTTAAAGGCTAATTCCTATAGTTCACTTGTCACAATAAAACATTTTAAAAGCTAATTCCTAAAGTTCACTTATACTTTGTTTTAGCTTCTTGTTTGACTTTGCTTGTATTCTATAAATATTATTAGATAATTTTTAAGATGGTTTTTATATACATCATTTAATTTGATTCCAGAAGACATTTGCCATAGTCTTTGTGATATGTAAGAGCCTTTTGAGATCCACACCAGCTTTACTCTCATTTACATCTGCTGCATCCTATTCTCTTAACACATAATGTGACTTTTTGTATCTGGGTCCCTTCTACTAATTAATCAATCTCCTTTTTTATATAAAATGTCTAATTGATCAAGATATCATCACTGTTTAGTTTTATATTTAAAGGCAAAAGTTAACAGTTGACTTTTCTCTCTGTTGAAGTAGAAAACTACTATTAGTTCCCTTTAACAGTATCCTCAGGAACTCACCTGGTTATTTCTTTTAGCACACTCATTCTGTCTGATACCAGGTAACTCTAGAAAATAATGCATAACTTTACTAAGGTGTGACAGTGAATTTGTAAGTCTTTCAGTCACCTCCACTCTCATTCCTGCTGAGCAATCTTTTTATCTTTATTTAGCTTCTTTTTCTCATTCATCTTGCAGCAGACACAAACCTGACCACTCTTCAAATTCACACCAAGTCAGTATTCCCATTTTTATTAGTCAGATTTAGTTATTTACCTTTAGTTTACATCGCCCTTTGGAAAGTTTTCTATTAGCTCAGCATGGCATAATAGACTTAGCCCTGAACCTTACTTATTCCCACACTTAAATGCTCCTCCCTTCCCCTTCCTGCCTAACTCATTCACCAAAAATGTATTAAGTACCTTTTGTAAGCTGCTCACAGTCATCATGTAAATTCAGTTCAAATTTCACCATACCTTTGATTTCCTCAAATAATATATAGTATATTAAAGTGAGGTATGTTTTTATATATTTTTAAGTTGGTATTACTTTAGATTCTTTGTATCATAAAATATTGTGGAAGTATTAACTAAATGAAAAGAGAAGCATCATGGCTAAAATCAAACACAAGGAAGTTTTTGAAAGATTTAAGAATGTTTGTAATGATAAGCTCAAGTGAAAAAGAGAATTGCTCATTCTCACAAGTGGAGGATTGTGGGTTTCTGCCCATGTCTACTCCTTCTGTTTTCCTGGAAATCACTGCCACGTGTTATTTTTAGTGTCTCCTAAGCATTAATTTCCCACTTTCCAGCTCTCTGCCATATGGCTTTAGCCTACATCCCCTTTAGTTAATTTCTAGAATAAGCTGTGTTTTCTTGAGTCAGCATCTTTTAATGCAATGCAAAAGACTTTCCATGTGTAATGGCTCTCTTGTAGGCCCATGTCCCCATGACACCACTGATATGTACTCTTTTAACTTTGATTTTTTCCCCTGAAATCTATTAATTTTTGTGAGTGTTCATCCAGTCTTTACAAATTTGTGTTTCCTCATTCTCAGTGAGCAGCCTGATTTTTCATAGATTCTTTTTTTTTTTTTAAATACTGGGGATCGAACTTGGGTCTTTGCGCTTGCAAGGCTGACGCCAGAACTACTGAGCTAAATCCCCACCCCGAGCAACCTGATTTTTCTAAAAATCCATTATTTCTTTCAATCTTTCATTCTACCATTTCTTGGGAAACAAAAGACATCACTGATAATAGTTCAATTTTTACACAAAAAGCTTTATTTTTATTTTTAACATATTGTGTCTTTTTTTTTTTTTTTTTTTTTTTGGTAGCAGGGATCAAACTCGGGTCCTCGCGCTTGTGAGGCAGGCCACCGAACCACTGAGCTAAATCCCCGGCTCTTAATATCGTATTGTGTCTATTTTAATGTACTGAGACGTTTTGAAGATATATTTGCCTCACTTCTGCCTCTTACTTAGTATTTAAAATAATGATGCAGATTCATTAGTAAGCAACTGAGGTTTTTAATCTTTTAATTATTGTAATACTCCCTTCAAGTTAGCAATTTTGTTCTTTTAGTAAGTATCCTATTTCATATAGTGTACATTCATTGAAATTTTTACTGTGGTGAAAATGTTTATGCAGGGACACATGGGCTTTATTTTTACTTGCAAACATATTCTTTCACTTCCTTCATTATTAATTTGGAGTCTTGGTATTGTAATTAAAGACCATCTCCTATATTTTAAGCAGCTGCTAAGAAAACTCTTAGAGCGTTATTCTAAGTGAATAGCCAACTGTATTTTTTCCTTTATTTATAATTTTATAAATGCTTTAATTTGTTTTGTTAGACAGTAGTTAAAAAGATAAACCAAAGGGCTGGGGATTTAGCTTGGTGGTGTTGCCTGTCTCACAAGTGCAAAGTTTGATCCCCATTACAAAAAAAAAAAGAAACCAAAGTCCTCATAATAAAATATAATATATTCTTCTAATTCTCATAATTTAACCCACTCTTCCACATTCATATAGCACCTATGTATTACTAGATTTTGACTATTTTTGCACATTTGAAATATCTAACAAATTAGTTTAATGCTTGGGGTTTATTCTTTGGTCTAGATTATAAAAGTAGTAATGTTAAGTTTTTTAATAAATCGACCATTAAAGGTAGATATATGAGAATGTTAAATAGAAAGGAAATGCCTATTTTAGGGTAGTATGTTTTGTATCAAAATATTATTTTAATCTTACTTTACTCAAGAATTCAGCATAATTTTAATATGACTTTTAAGTCTTTGGAATCTTTATGTTTGTTTTGTGGGCTTTAAAGTTACAAATATAGGAACTCCAGTGGTACAATTGGTTAGTGTGTGGTATTTATATCAAATTACAAATATAAAAGCTAATGAAGGGCCGGAGATTTAGCTCAATGGTTTATTTAGCTCAGTGGTTTCACCGCCTGCCTCACAAGTGCAAGATCCTGGGTTTGATCCCTGGTACCAAAAAACAAACAAAAAGCTAATGAAATATCCTATTTTCTAAACTCCTACTACTAAGCACTTTGCAGAAGCATTATACACAGCATAAATGGATGTCATTTACTTTTTCCCTGTATTTAAAAATGTATATGTAATATATTATCAACTATTCAATGTGTGTTTAATCAATGTCAAAAATAGGTACATTTAAGGAGTAGATAAATACAAATACAGTTTTTAGATTTACAGCACAGAATACAACTAATAGATATATGCTTGGTAATAGAAAATGGCTTTGTCAAAAGTGTTCTAGCCATCAAATATGTGATCATCATAAGTTTATAGTTATAAATATTAGTTTACCATTGGTTGTTGTCAGTTGCTTACATAAATTCTGTTGAATAGTTTGGTTCTTATAAAACTGTTACATTTTTTCCTTTCAGAAGCAATATGTAACTTTTTATCCTTTTCTAGGATATGGAAAAATGAAATAAATAGTACAAATACTTTCAGAGTTTTGCCTCATCCTGCTTTTGTTTACACGGCTAAATTCCATCCAGCTGTAGGAGAGCTGGTAGTTACAGGATGCTATGATTCTGTGATACGGATATGGAAAGTTGATATGAGAGAATGCTCTGCTGTATTGGTCCAACAGTTTGATGCTCACAAGAGTTTTATCAACTCTCTCTGTTTTGATGCTGAAGGTATGTTAGAGGATATGTTCCAAATGAAAGCTAGTTGCCTGAACTCATTTTTTTAATTTCACTAATAGTTATCAAACCTTGAGAAGGATGTTATAAAATTGATGATTACTTATGCGTATTCTGGCATATTATTAGCTTGCAGGTCACATGAGGTCACTGAGGGAGTTCTGTAGAATTTTAAAATTATTTAATTCCTAAACATTTAAATTCAGTCTTTGCTCTAACAATGTCATGTATCATATTTCATAAATATATTTGTTTAGATTGATTATTATATTCTTAGTTATTTTTAAGGATCTTTTATGTTTGTTTTGTTTTTCTTCTCTCATTGAGTTTACTGTTACATTTTAGGTATACAGTATAGTTACATTCATTATTGGGATCTTGTACCTTTACATGACAGGCCTTGGTTCTCATTTTTTCCCCTTGTCCCTGCCCTCCCTTCACCCCCTCCTCCCCTCCCCATTTACAAACTCTTTATTTCCATTTTTTCAAGGATCTTTTATGTTAAAGAGTAGATTGGTAGGGGCAAAAAAATCCCCAAAGAATGTTGCAGATCTATATGTTAAATGTAACAACAGACTTTTTTTAAAAGTACACAAGGAAAAATTGCAGTTAAAGTTATTAAAGATGTAAAATGTAGATTGTTTTATTGCCTGAAAAAATAAATTATTGTATCTCTTAATCACTTTTTAAATTTCAAAAAGTAGGCTTTTAGCCTATAGCTATAACTATTTAAATAAGATCTAGATCAAACTGATAATATTGCTGTAGGGATGTTAATAAATTTACAAAGGCCCTGAATAGAAAGGTATCTGAAAACTCTGATAATAGAAGTAGCTCACATTATGAAAGAAAGATGGTTTTTTTAAATTCTTTGCTCAGAATTAAAAGGAACATTCTAACACATGGAGCAGTTTAACGGTTAAATGAGCTGTTTTATAAAGTATTAAATTCACAGTTGCCAAGCAGCCATCTGTCAGTAATAGTGTATAAGATATTCCTGAGTAGCTATGAAATTGAACACGATGGTCTCTGAGGTCCCATTCAACTCCAAGATAGTTTAACTCAAAGCAATTGATGTTAAACTGTTAACACTTGTTACTTATTATTTTATTCATTCTCTGATGATTTATTTAAGTTTTCTGGTTCTCAGGTATTAAGCTAACAGTGTATATTAGAATATAGGTATTTTTCAGGAATATAAGACAGAATATATCAGTAGTAAAGATGAAGAATATATATATGTATGTGCTGAATAATTCAAATAATTTGGCTGTGGAAAATGAGCCTTACATGCACTGAGATACTTATTTCTTTTTGTATTCACATTCAGGCAAGTGACAAAAGGAAATATGTCATCAAAAATAATTTAAAAGAGGGAAGTATTAATGTAAAGATAATTGGGATTAGAATGTGAGTTATTTTTGCTTTTCTGGATTTTTAAACTAAAACAGCTTTTAATAGCCCTTCTTTTCCTTGACTGTGTTGGTGACTTATGGTTCCTGCAACTTCCTATCATTTGTGATAGTTCTAAGTGAGTAATTTTACTTTTTTAAATAGGTCATCACATGTATTCAGGAGATTGCACAGGAGTGATTATTGTGTGGAACACTTATGTCAATGTTAATGATTTGCAACACTCAGTGTGCCACTGGACTATAAATAAGGTAAAAAAATCATAATTTTGGGGGGGTATTGGGCATCGAACTTGGGACCTTGCACTTGTGAGACAGGTTGGGGGAGCCACTGAAATCATTTTATAGCTGAGAATTTAGTTAAGGAAAGTAGAAAAAAATTCAACCACATGACTAGGATAGGAAGTAAGGACAGTCTATTCTACATTTTCAAAAAATAAAAGTTTTTCTCAGTCTGTAAAAAGTCAGTTATCTTTAATCATCCATTATATTCTGCCTGATGGCTCTTTTATAACTTAGTGAAGATTTTCATTTTGGTGAGTTCACTTTCAGTCCTTTAAAAATACTTTTTTGTTGTGTGGGTGTTGGTATGTGCACATGTGTGTGCATGTATTGAAAATCAAACTCAAGGCTTGCACATGCTAGACAAGTACTGTACTACTGAGGTCCATCCCACCAACCCCATCTTTAGTCTTTTGAGCCCCAAATTGCACTATGGCATTAGCTGGAGTTTACGATAAAGTAAGGTATATGTAATGTTATGTTACCATCTATACGTCACAATTTGTATCTTTTATTGTATCCTGTGCTTGGTCCAGTAACATCTCTAAAAACAGTATGCTCAGTCAGCATTGCTGTCCTTCTCATTGTTATGGAATTATGACTTGTGTCCCTGTAATTAATTTTATTGGTCTATATTTTTTATTTTTTAGTTAAAAATATAACTAAAAATACAAAATGATCATCAAACTTGAGTTTGTGTTATATAAATTGATGTAATTTCTGCCTGCCATATTACATGCTTGTTCTTGTGTTTTTCACACTATGTCAATAGCTGTCTTCCTTTGGAAAAAAAAGATACCCTAAGAGAAAAAGAATTTATATGAAGTTTAGTTAAGTCTTTGTGTCTTTGAGATCTGTTTTTAAAACTGTATTCTATTTTTAGTTATTCTGATCTGATCAAATTAATTATGTCTTTAGAGTCATCATATAGCCTAATTTCACACACTTTGAAAAGAACTTTCTAATTACTTACATACCAGAGGGACTGGCAAGTCTCCAAAGGCCCAAATTCCAATCTTCTGAATGTACAGTACAGAATTTATCATTTATTATAAAACTTGTGTCTTAACCTTTATGTACTAAGATACAAATTTATCTTGAAAATCTATAACTTGGTCATTGCTTCAGACAGTAAAAAATAATGATTATAAAAATGGGCTGGAAATGTCTTTTTAGCAGCAAATGCTATGTGACAAATTGAAGACTGTGATTTCATACTTGGCTGTGTGCAGTCAGCAGTGTGGGGAATGCTAGGTTACATTTCTCTGTCCCTTAAGGATTAAGTACCCATTGCTTTCTTAGTTTGAACATGAATGTGATAAAGAAAAATATCAAGAAATCACTAGATAATATAGACCCTAGATCTGCCAGCAACTTTCTCGAGTTTATACCCAACACTTGTTCTGCAGTTTTGTTTTGGATTTTGCATGTTTGCATCTGTTTCAGTTAATCATATCCTCACCCATGCTTCCCCACCTCAGATTTGTTATAGTTTAGCCATTAAATCCCCATCTGTTGTGTCAGTGTTTCACTGTTTTCTGTGACTTTAAAAAAGAAAAATTAGACAACAGGTTTTAGTGTCAGTCAACAGTAGCAGGGGTGAGCTGCTAATATAGGGGTACCTCATGTTAACTCATATACCCCCAGCATAAATCTCCCCATCCCCCCTACTCGTCAGCACTGGTTACCTCTCTGTATGTTTGAATTTTTTACTTATTGTTTAGGTTCCACTTGTGAGATCGTGTAATATTTTGCAGCATTTTTCTTTCTTTGACTTATTTCACTTAGTGTAGTGTTCTTTAGGCTCATCCACATTATGGCAAATGGCAAGCTCTTAATTCTCTTTTAGGGCACAAATTGTGTGTGTGTGTGTGTGTGTGTGTGTGTGTGTGTGTGTATCCATTTTCTGTTACCTGGTCATTTAGATTATTTCTATATCTTGACTGTTGTAAATAATACTTTGGTGAATATAGGTGTGTAGATATCTTTACAAGGTGGTGATTTTGTTTCCTTTGGTGTTTGCCCAGAAGGGGGATTTCTAGGTCATATAGTAGTTGTATTTTTAATTTCTTTAGAAACCTCTATTGTTCCACAATGGCTCTCCCAGTCTTCATTCCCAACAAGAAGGTAGAAGAGCTCTCTTTTTTCTGCACCTTTAGCAACACTGGTTATCTTTTGACCTTTTGATTACTATCCTAATAGGTATAAAGTGTATAATATCATAATGGTTGTAATTTACATTTCTCTGATGTTTAAATGTTGAGCATCTTTTCATATACTTGCTGGTCATTTTTATGTCTTCTGTGGAGATTTGTTTATTCAGTTCTTGGCCCACTTTTTATTCACTTTATTTGCTTTTCTATTACTGAGTCATATGAGTTCTTTATAAATTTTGGATATTAACCCCTTAAGAGACGTATGGTTTGCAGATAATTTTTCCCAGTGGGTAAACTGCCATTTAATTTTCTTATTTACTTTGCTATACAGAAAGCAGCTTTATAATTTGATTTTGTTCCATTTATTTATTTTTGCTTTTGTGATCTGAGCTTTTGGTGTGATAGCCAAAGAAATCATTGCTAAGGTAAGCTGGGCATGGTGGTACATGCCTGTAAACCCAGCGGTTGCAAGGCTAAGGCAAGAAGATAGCCATGAGTTCAAGCCTAGACTGAACTACACAGCGAGATCTTGTCTCAAACCAGCCCCTCCCCAAGTTATTGCCAAAACAGTTATTCAGAAGCTTTTCCCTTCTGTTCTCTTCTGGGAGTTTTATACTTTCCAGCCTTACACTAGATCTTTAATCCATTAAGAGTTTATTTTAGTGCATGGTGTAAGGTGTAAGGGTAATTCTTCTTGTGTATGGCTTGTGTATGCAGGTTCTTCCTCAGTGTTTGTCTTCCTGACACTGTTAGTTAGGTATCTTCTGTAGCTGCCTCAAATAACCAACCAAAAGAAGAGAAAAATCCCTCACCCAAATTATAATTTAAATTAAATTATTTCATAATAAGAGGTCTATAACATACCATGCTTAAGACAAATGGGAAGTGTAAGAAAAGAGTCTCAGGCTAGATAGAAAATTAATTCTACCCTTAGTTTTGAGTTTATGAAGATTGGAAGCTTTTTTATGTGAAATAAACAAAGTGTTTAAAATTGACTTTGTACTCTAAAAATGTTAAGCATTAGACAAACTTTTCAGTATTAGTATGTTTTGATTTTTCTTATCATTTTAGGAAATTAAAGAAGCTGAATTTAGGGGGACTCCAATAAGTTATTTGGAGGTTCATCCCAATGGAAAACGTTTGTTAATTCATACCAAAGATAGTACTTTGAGAATTATGGATCTTCGAATGTAAGTACATATTATTATTACAGAGTAAGTACTCAGAGAATAAGTAATGCATGAATTTAACTTGTAAAATGCAACAGAGATTCTTAGAGACAATTTTGCTCTCTAGGAATATCTAACAATGTCTGGAGATGTTTTTGATGTTTCTTCTGTTATCTGATGGGTAAAGATCAGAGATGCTAATAAGCGTCCTAGAATTCATTGGAAAACCCCCACAGAAAAAAGTGTCTGGTCTCAAATGTGAACTGCTTTAAGGTTAAAATGTAGTTTATTTCTTTTTATTTTACAATTATAAACAGAAACTTTTCCCTTCAACAGTAAGAGAGTATCTTTCATCTCTTCTATATTGGTATAGCATATGTTATGATATAATAAGGACTAAAGGAGTTGGCTTTAGATTAATTTTGTTTTTCTTTTAATTCTAAATAAAGGTAAATGTGAGGGCCAGGGATTTAGCTCAGTGGTGTCACTGCCTGCCTTGCAAGCATAAGGGCCTAAATTCAATCCCTGGTACAAAAAAAAGTAAATGTGGGAAAATATCTTTAGCGCAAAAGGCAGAACTGAATTCTGAGAAAAAAAAGCATAGATTCCTAATAGTGTTAGAGTTGCTATAAAACAAATGAGAGACAGAGCTCTTTTATTAGATTTTCCTAATGTATTTAGGAAGGAAAATGTGGTAATTTATATTAATTAAGTATCTTCTTAGTATTGACCATTAAGCCCTAGAACAATCCCAAGACCCTTGCATGGGAACACTGGAAGAATGGTAGCAGGATTATCCCATGAAGAATTTATGCTCTAGTTGCACACCTCCAAAATAATGCTGGAAACAAGCTAAAATATGAGATCTTCAAGGCTTAGAATCTTATTATTTTTTCTGTATGTAGCATTCGTGTCATGCCTGGCAGATAGATAGCAAGTACACAGTTTATATTTTTAATGAATATAATGAATAATAATAAGATTATATTCTTTTTTTTTGTACCAGGGATGGAACTTGGGTCTTTGTTCTTTCGAGGCAGGTGGCGGAACCACTGAGCTCAATCCCCGGCCCATAAGATTATATTCTTCACAGCAAGAATAATACTAACAACTATAATATCTTCTGTTAATGAGTTTATTAAGAGGCTAGCATTTGAGGTCAGTCTTGCAAGATAGAGATTAGATAAGAAAAGTTTTTCAGTAGAATGAATAACATGAAATCAAGTTTAGTGGTGAAATAATATATGTTCAAGGCAGAGAAGTTAGTCTATATGAGCATAGGTTTATTAACAAGGAATACTGAGAGGGAATTTTTATATATAGAAATTAGATCTAGAGTAGAGGACCAGGCTAAGGATTTCAATTATTCCCTTTTTAGGCAAGATGAGATCATGCTTAGGCTCAAGGAGTCATCTGCTGCCCTTGCCACCCTTATTAGCTGATTAACCTCTCTGTGCTTGTCTTTACTCATGTCTCAGACAGAAGCAATTTGCTGACCTCAGTGGTTTTATGGAGGAATAAGCTAGTTAGTATGTGTGTAGTACTTATAACAGTAAAGCACATAACAAAGATTCTGGAAATGTTTGACCCAAAAATTACAGGTCTGGGAATTTATGTCAAGAAAGTAATTGTAAAACAGTGCAAATATATAGATAACACACAAAAAATTTGTTCATAGAAATCACGTTTGTGGTAGAGGAATACTTGGAAACAACTAAATGTTGTCTATCAATAGAAAGTTTCTTAAGATATTTTTAGACAGTAATGCATACTCATTAAAGTGACTGTGCATAATCTGTATTTCGTGCCATGGAGGTCCACTAGTCATCATCTATTCTTGAGTGAAAAAACAGGTTACAGAGCAGTCTATCTAATACTGCCTGACTTCTAGTAAGTGTTGCAACTTATTCAGAAGTGAAAATATCTCCTTGTATATCATATTGAATAAGTTAATACCATTTTATCTACTGTTCCTTCAGGGGTCAAGTATTTCCTTTTGATTTTAAAAATCCCCTAGGTAGAAGAGAACATAATACAAAAAATCTGCCTATGGTTTAGAAACTAATTCAGATGCTACCTCCATAAAGTAGTTGCTGTCTTCATAACTAGCATTAATGTGTCCTACCTAAATGTTCTTCTGTGGTGCTTTCTGCATCCACCTTCTTTTTTGTGTTGATACATTTCTTCTCTTTCCTGCTAAATTCTAAATGCTAAACTCACTGAGCACTGAGACCAGCTTTTTATTGCAGAACAGTGGTGGCAAACTTATGTCACTCATGCCACAGGGAGCTGTTTGTTATCATTGGAAGCTTTAAAAGATTCACCATCACTGCTCTAGAAGGTCTGCATTGTACAATGTCTATCATTTGATAGATTTTAGAAATTAATTTGATATGAAAATTAAGTATTAAAAGAAATTTTCTACCACCAGTCTTTTAAATGGTTAAGGCATATATATTTTTGTTGTTGTTGTTTACAGATTAGCAGCAAGGAAATTTCTAGGTGCAGCAAATTATCGGGAGAAGATTCACAGTACTTTGACGCCATGTGGGACTTTCCTCTTTGCTGGAAGTGAAGATGGCAGAGTTTATGTTTGGAACCCAGAAACAGGTATTTAGTGACTATCCAGGCTGTTTTTGGGGGGTGAAGATAAAGGTTTCTAGAAGTGTGAAAACTATAATTGTTACAGAATAGTTTTCTAATTATTTTCAAGATAGCTTTTAGTGGAACTCAGCTGCTGTCTAAACTTAAATTCTGTTCTGTACTGCATTCATCATGGATTTAAAATTTCATATGATAATTCAATTTTTTTTTTTTTTTTTGGTACCAGGAATTGAACTTGGGTCCTTGCACTTGCAAGGCAGGCCACCAAACTGCTGAGCTAAATCCCTGGCAATAATTCAAGGTTTATTCTTGCCTATGAAATATCTCTGCTCTTAGAGAAGTATTTAATGAAGCTCTTTTTTTTTGGTGCCGGGGGTTGAACTCAGGTCCCTGTGCTTGCAAGGCAGGCAGTGGAACCTTAATGAGGCTTTTAAATACTATAAGCTGAATTGTAACTAGGTAGACCGTTAATTCTTCATTATATATTTTCTTTTGTAATAAAAACATTACTGTGCTTGTTAATGTCTGAAACTTAATTAGCAGTTACCTAAATTACTATAGTTCAGATATTTCCAATAAACAAGTACATTAAGAAGTTCACTTGTAGGGCCAGGGATTTATCTCAGTGGTTCTGCGGCCTGCCTCACAAGCACAAAGTCCTGAGTTCAATCCCAGAACCAAGAAATAAATAAATAAATAAATAAAAGAAGAAGTTCACTTGTTCACTTACTTTGCTTTTCCAAAGAAAAACTAAAACTACATGAGCTTTTAGTTTTTTTTTTTTTTTGCGGGAGTGGAAATCGAACTCAGAACCTTGTACTTATGGGCACATGTGGCACCACTCAGCTAAATCCCTGGCCCTACATAAGCATTTTTAGCAATTTTTTTCATATTGCTCTTTCCCTTTAATAAATAGATCTCTTTGCTTTTTGACTTCTGGTTTAGGCATCTTTGTGCCATAATCATAGATGCCTTTCAAATAGGTGACACCTCAAATAGCCTATGGTGGAAAAAATAGAAAAACATAATCTCTACCAGTCCTTTAACTGGAGAGTTTCTTCAGTTTGGTGGTTTGTTGATCTCATCCCTCACTTTTCTCAGAGTTCTTTGTTGATTGTAATTTGCTCAGTTCTGTTAGATCTCATAGCCATATACCTGTCTACTTCCTTCAAGCATATTATTTTGTGCCTGGCAAGCCTTATTGAAGAGGTTGAATTTTGAAATACAAAGAGGAGGGCCAATACAGTGTAAAATAATGACTATTACTTAATACAGTGCTACCCATATACTTATATTTTGAGGTTTCATGTAAATAATGTAAGCTTTTGAGGTTTCATGTAAATAATGTAAGCTTCATTATTGCTATATATATTTTAATAAGTGGCAGATTATTAAGATTTTAAAATGAGAAATACTTGATACAGTACAAATTATTGAATCTCTTTTTTATTTAGGGGAACAAGTAGCAGTGTATTCTGACCTGCCATTCAAGTCACCCATTCGAGACATTTCTTATCATCCTTTTGAAAATATGGTTGCATTTTGTGCATTTGGGCAGAATGAGCCAGTTCTTCTTTATATTTATGATTTCAGTGGTAAGTGCTGTGATTGATGAGAATATTTAGAGTAATCTTTTAATTTATTCTGCACCTGAAACCATTAGCTGTATGAAATCTTTTTATTCTTTTATCTTTTTATCAACAAGTTCTTGATTATACACAAGAACCACAAAAATTAAATAAATTCTATTATAATATTTTTTTATGTTTTGTGAGATTAGTGCAGAATTTAAATGTTGGCTGAAATGCACATAATGATTGTGATCTTGTGTTAAAAAATCACAAAATTACTTTATCAATCTAAGTGAATTAAATTTACCTAAAAGTTATTTGAGACTATGTTAACTGAATTTAAAAATTTAAAATAACTCATAGGACATGTGTTGAATGTCTTTAGTTGCATATTGGATTAATTTCTTCTATGCTTTTGTTTTTACTAAGCTTTTTATGAATTATAGTGCAGAGTTTTTAAACACAAAGCTAGGCCAAAAATTTAAATATAAATGAAAAAAGATCTGAATTAAAAATCTCTTTTTCAGACTTAAAATTAAGAAAATTAAAACTCTGGATATGTTTTTGAGGAATAGGATGGTGGCGTGTCATAATACAGTGCTGTCTTCCTCAAAATTGAAATACTGTTTTCTTCATATATTTCTTACACTTAAGTTCTTTATCTCTGATTTGTTTAGAATGCTATATATCATTTGCTATTTTGTATAAGCTAGGATAGTTTACGTGCATGTGTAGTTATATACATATACAAATAAATATGTAGATAATATTTAATGTACAACTGTTTGGACAAAGGACTTTAATAACTGAAAAGTTAAGTTTAAGTGAAATACATATTGAATTTTTAATGCTTTGATAAGTGCTAAATTATTAGATAATTATTATAAACCTGAATTTTTTTATTGTGGAATGGATTATAGTTTGCTTTTTCAGGTGAATTAGAAACAAATGCATAAAACCAAGATTTATTTTATTCTAAAGAACTTTATAGAGAAGATATATATGTAATTCATACTTAAATTTATAAAATGATCATGAATGATAGAATTGTCAAGCAACAAAATATGATTTATATTGAGTACCAAATGTTTACAAAAACTAAACAGTTTTATAATTGGAAAAAATAAATGGATTTCTCAGATCACGCAGTTTCTAAATCTGTCTGTTCTGAAATTATCCTGGGGCAGGAGATTTAGCTCAGTGGTTCCACCACCTGCTTCACAAGTTCAAGGTCCCCAGTTCGAAACCCAGTACTGAAAAAAAAAAAATAAAGACTAGGATAAAATGTATCCTGTAATAATTCTTTGTATTCACTTTAAATCTTCACATAAACAGGGATACTTATATATACTGTCATGCAGGAAATGGGCATCACAGATATTTTCTAAGTCTCTTAAGAGGTTTCACAACACTCTTCATTCAATTCTAATTTGCTTTTTAGGGTTTTGAAATTTTCACTACTAATGCAAGTTAAAAATCTGTTCTTTTTCTTCAAGCACTTTGTCTTTTTATCACTGACAGAAGGATTTTATCATTAGATTAGCCTAGGGTAGTTTGGTTTGCCAATTTGGTTTTTAGACAGAAGATATGTAGTACTTGCCCTCCCTAAGATGGTATTTGTGATGGTATGAGACAATCACTGTAAAAGTGCTTTGTAGACCAATAAGCACTATATTAAGACAAAAGATAAAATGAGTTGTTACTATGTCACCCACCAATATACACTTAGTTTACAATACACACCTTAATAGGAATTTATACTTTAATACACTGTTAAGCATCTCGAAATTGAAAAAGACCCCGCCCCACACTCTCAGCCTTTTCCATTCATTTAATGTCAAGGAGGAAGATTTCCATGAGTACTCTAGAAATAAAATGTTCAAATCATAACACATAAAATTATAATTATTTTCTACAGCAAATTTAGAAATAATTTTTGATATACTAGTATACCTTTACAAACAAAACTCACAATATTTCCGAACATTTCCCCAATTCTTTGATGCCCATTTTTAAAAAGAGGAAGCTTACGAATAAGTTAAGTAACCTGAAACTACCCAAGATTTAGCATAATTCTTATGAATGGTATAGAGCCATAATCAATGAAAAGTTGTTTCACATATCTTACTCATGAAATACAGCTGAGAATCTTCAATTCAAATGGTCTTTAAATTTTTTATCGAAAAATTATTTCTAATTGATCTATTGTAGCTTAATATTACATTTTATTTTTTAATGCAGGACTATTTTGCCCCTCAAAATCTTATCTAAAAATAAGGTTTACATGTGACTCACATGAAATTTTAGTGGTATAAAAGACACAAAACAGTTAAGTGATTCTGATCATTTTCAAGGAAAAAGGAGCAAGCTTATTTTTTTGTAAGTTAGACAAGTTGCGAATGAGACCACAGTGGTAGCTAAATGTATCATCCATCTTTCAGTTCTAGCAAAATCTGTGAAGAGTCAGCAAGCATCTTTCTCTGTGAAGCATATGTTCAGGTTGTGGTCTCTTGAGTCTTTCATTATACTGGCTTTTTGCTTTTTTTGGTAAGAAATATGATTTTTACTTTCAGAAGGCAGTTTTATTTGCCTGATGTTGAAAGGGTTAATCATCTAGTAATACAAAATTTAGTCATAGACTACCACAAACAATGTACTTTTAGGATTCCCATAATAACAAAGTACTAGTTGGAGAAACTGCTGCTGAATTAATTTTATGAAGCTAGACTTTAGCAGTTGATGTTTGATAATAATACCTGTCTACTTGAGTATCTAGGATGCTATTCTACATTTATGAATAATTGTATCATCTTCAATGTTCTAGATAGTATATGAAGTATTTATATATATATATATATGTATATATTATTCAAGTATTCACAATGATTTTATGACATAGATGCTTTGTTACTCATATATAACAGGAGCCAGTGCTTAAATCTTGAAATCTATGCCCTTGTTTGATGCACTAAACTGCATTATTAGCAGATTTCCTGAAATGATGGGCTAGTAATCAGATTTTCTTTTGAAGTACAGGGGAATGAATCCAGGGCCTTCAGATTGAGCCACATCCTCAGCCCATCTTTTATTTTTTACTTTAAGAGAGGGTCTTGCTAAGTCACAAAATGTCCCAGGCTAGGCTCAGTTTGGTAATCCTCTTATGTCAGCCTACAGAGTGCTGGATCACACGTATGCACCACCATGTTCCATGTCTTTGTATTTTATACTTTATAGGAAGCAAAGATGAAGACTTGTCCATTTTTTTTAATTACCAAAACCTATCCTGATTTCTGACATAGAGTTAACATGCCTGTAGTATTTTAAGTAGAGTCAAGTCTTAATTTGGAAAAATCAGCGTTATTTGATAATGCCAGGTAATTATCCTATTTTCTCAGTAAGTGGCAGTGTCTTCTCTGGACCACTGTTAGCTCAGTTACTGTTCAGATTGTCTTAGTCAAGATAGATCTTTATTGAGCACCTATTGTATACCAAAAACTGGGCTATAAAACTCAAGAACCAGACTTAGATTACTATATTTCTTTCAAACTATTTGTGCTAAGTAGTTGACTAAAACTCTGGAAGAATTTTAGCCAAAATTAAAGATAATTTCTTCCACTGTCATGATTTTATTAACAGAATTTGTATTTTTTAGTGATTACCTACATTGTCATTATAGCTTTTTTCCCCACTCTGAGGCATGTTTTACCAGATTTCAGGGTAATTTGTACCTTTACCTTTACATGTCTGAAGTTTTGTTATGTAATTTGTTCATTGACTGTGATGTGTATAATGCCCTGGGCTTAACACAGTACCTGGCATATATTACTGATACACGATGAATGTTTGCATTAAGAATTATAAGCAGCCTTGTAGAATAGCGTTATCTCTTAACTTTTATAAAATTACAGAATGAAAGGCATCATCAGTTAGTAAAAGAGGCTAGTAATAGTGGTAATAGTAGCTGACATTTATGAAGCATTTACTATGTATCTGCCACTCTTAGTGGGCATTTTCTCCTATAGTTCTAAAACACCTAGTAGGTAGTTACTTTCCTCATTTTGCAATGAAACTGCCACACAGGGAAAATGTAGTAATTTGCCTAAGGTCACACAGTTGATAGTAAAGCTGTTTGACTCCAGGATGATTTTAAAGCCCACATTCTCAATGTGTAAAGCTACTTAGTCTGCATTGCATATGCCATGAAGCACATTAAAAAGATAGCTAAAGGGCTGGGTATATGTAGATTAGTGGTAAAGTGCATCCTTAGTGTACACAAGCACCAAAAAAGACCAAAAAAACAATTTAGGCAGCTAAATATTCTAATAGTGAATTGTGTTGCTGTTTCCAGTCTCAGGAGAATCTCTTAAGACTAAAAGGTAGTTTGGTTTTTTTTTTTTTTTTTTTTTAACTTTGCGACTAACATAGTCACAGTGTACCAATATTCTCAATGTAGTGCAAATTAAGAATATTCTTTAGAACATAGCATTAACTTTTAATGCAGCTTCTTTTGTAATACTTTTGTAATATGACTAATCTAACCAAATTAAATTTAATATCAACAGTTTTGTGCATGTTAATTTTCTTCTAATACTGATGATGAATCTTGCAAAAGCAAACTCATTGTAATTTCATCTATATCCCTTAATAATTGTAGCTGATTGTGGGGCAAAGTTTTATATGTTGATTTTTACCCACTAGGAGAAATTAAGAGAGTTTTAAGATATACTGAAGCTACTTCATGATCATATCCTGAAGTTTCTAGTTTAATGTCCTTTCACATAACAGAAACTATGCTTTGAAAGTTCATACCATTCAAGAACTGAAGATACATGCAAAATGTAGCCCAAACAATGATATAAAGCATAAGCCAGAGCCCTAAATTACTTCCATGCCTTTTAGTTTAATGCTTATTTTGATATTTTTTAAAGTGCACCAGAAAAGAAGTACGGTGTGATGCAAAGTAAACAATAGTGTGGTGGCAAAGACCGAAGTAGGAGTTACAGCACCTGCATTATGACAAATTA